TTTTTTGAGTACGTCTATGATCAAACTCGTGTATTGTTAACCAACTATATCTTGTCTCCGCCATATCTCTCACGCATATATCTATAGTGCTAAGTCTCTTAAGTTACAATTCCTAATAAACTCGACTTTTCGACCCCTTTTCTTATATTTGTTTTGCTTTATTTGCTTTTGATAAGTTGTAACTCTGTACTTATTATGTCGCCTCTTCCTGACGATGCGGACTACCATGTCGACTAGGTATGTTCCTCAAGGTTTCTCGGACGCTCTGACCAGGTTAAAAAACCAGGTCAAACTAAAAATCATAAGTTAAATAAGACTAAAACCAAACAGATAATCACACCAGCTCGGTCTTTATATCTACGATATTAGATATTGAATTATTAGGGTTTAAGAATCATAACTATTAATATAATTGTGCGAAAATTCAACTACCAGCCCTTCATCACGTTAAACGAAATATGGTAGGCACAGCATATATAAATGATTTATGGTAGTCTCGAAAACTGACCCTAAACGAACTATGACTAATATTGTCTCTTCATTTAGCTAATATATGTTTGTTCATCAAAAAATACACCACAGAATGTGATATGGGGAAATTAATGGCCTTTCCTACCATTCATATGTTATCTGTAAGGCAAGGGTAATCGTGAAATGTATCGTAGTGATTTACGTGATTAGATTATACGCTACAATGTCATGCTTCCAGTTTGGCTAGAGCTGGTGATAAGATCTATGGAAGGTGGAAACTACAGTTTACCCTGAATGTGAATAACTCTTGGGAAAGCAGGCTTATGTGAAATTCAATAGAAATGTCGTATCTACTCATATCATTGTGGGAAAATTTAATACCATTTGTTCATCTCCTTAAACGTAGTAAGCTCACCACAGTTTATTGAAACTCCCAAACTTTTTATAATTTGTCATTTTAATTTTAATTTTCTAGAGCTAGTCCAGTCAAAACATTGCGAAGCCTCAAACAAGCGATATGTTCTTAATAGAAAAAAATGTATTTCTTAGGAAACAATAATGAGGATAGTTAGCTTTCACAAGTTAAGCAAAAGTATTTAACCTCTTGCAAAGTGTCCAATTGATATCTCATCACAGATGGTCCAGTTATGCTGGTTAAGAGAT